GGCTTGGAATTATATTTAAATTAAGCCTCACAATACATTCGTGTCTGTTTTGACCTGAAACAGATGCATAAAAATGTCTTTAAAAAACCCTGGAATGCACTGAGAGCGAAACATTCAAAATGATTTAAGATCTGCTTAATTTTACTTGCAAAAACAGTTTAAAACACCTAGGTGTCATATATTCATTATTTCATTAACTCATCCACCCTTTCTTTCATTTATTCACCCATCCATCCATCATCCATACATCCTTTCATTCATTCAGTCATCCATTCATACATTCATCCATACCCTTCCATTCATCTATTCATCCATCCTTTCATTCATTCATTCATTCATTCATTCATTCATTCATTCATTCATTCATTCATTCATTCATTATTGTACCTATCCACACATTTATTTGTTCATCTTTTCATTTGTTAGTTCGTTCATTCATTCATTCATTCACTCATTCATTCATTCATTCATTCATTCAATATTAAACCCATCCACACACCTATTTGTTCATCTTTTCATTTATTCATTCATTTATTTATTTATTTATTTATTTATTTATTTATTTATTTATTTATTTATTTATTTATTTATTCATTCATTCATTCATCCAATCCATCCAATCATCCACCCATCCTTTTATTCATTCCTCCTACATGCATTCATACATCCATCCATTCATTAATGTATCCATATTTTCATTCATTCATCTCAACCGTCATCCATCCATCGTTTAATTCATTCATGTACCCATCTATCCAATCATCCATCCATCCTTTCAGTCATTTATTATTTCTTTCATTCATTTATTCCACTTATTCATTCATTCATCCACACATTCATTAATTTATCCATATTTTCATTCATCCATATTTTTTCAACCATCATCCATCCATGCTTTCATTCAGTCATCAACCCTTTCATCCATTCACCCATCCATCCAATCATCAATCCATCCTTTCATCCTTTCATTCATTCATTCATTCATTCATTCATTCATTCATTCATTCATTCATCCATCAATCAAACAATCCATTTATTTATACATCAATATCCTTCCATCCATCCTTTCATTCATTCATTCATTCATTCATTCATCCATTCTTCATTCATTCATTCATTCATTCATTCATTCATTCATTCATTCATTCATATATCCATCCATCCATCCATCCATCCATCCATCCAACAATCCAACAATCCATTCATCTATACATCAATATCCTTCCATCCATCCTGTCATTCATTCATTCATTCATGCTAGACACATTTTTAATTAATATTTATGCTATATTTATATACTATGTTTATATTTTTGCTAATTAGCAATGATTTATTTTGTTCATTTGCAATAAAAAGTACAAATTTGTATCAAAAATTAAGTATTTCTGTTGTTTTTAAATCAACAAAACGAAGCAAACCGTGAGAACATGCAGAATTTTTCCACATCCACTCTATCAGAATTGTCTGATCAGACACAATATGGTTTCGCTTATGACTGCTGTACACAACACTGATCGCTCATGTCCAAACTACAACGTGAAAATCAGCTTTTTAATGGATTACGAGATCTTAAAAGGCATTTTCTGCTGTATTATCGGGATGATCCTCCTCCAGCGACTGACATATTTCCACAAGTGTGAAAGTGTTTTAATCTCCGCCAGCAGCTGCGTCTCTTTCCATCTGCAGACAATTACGCCGCCGATATTTTGAAACCAAGCAAGAGTCTGCGGACAAAATACTACAAGCTATAAATTTCAAGTTCCTGTTATAACAAGTGGTTTATATTTACCCGCCGCGTCCCTGTTATATAGAAGGACATTCCTTCCGTTTCACCTCTGCTAAAGAGCCGATCTCAGTTTTCACATTGCTGTTGTTTTTTTTATGATGGAGAAGGAAAGATGGCACTGTTAAATGAGACATGTCAGAGTTGTTTGGGCAGAACTTTGATCTATATAGACTGCTCTTCCTTCTGGGGTTGTATTATTATTATTGTGACATGGATCTCATGCTGTGACAGGTTGACTTCTGATACAATAAAAGCCCAGCTGTGTCACACTATTGCTATTTAACAATCCGGCAGAAGCTGCAAATGCACATGATTCAGTGGTAAATAATGCATCTGTGTTTGTTGAAAAAGGGATTCATAAAGATAAATATAATATATGAAGTTTAATAGGTATATGATGAACACTGTATAACTGAAATAATTTATGATTCATGAATTTATTAATTAATAAGTTAAAATTAAAACAAGTTTACGTAACAGACATAAAAAGTAGATATGTAAAAATACAAATAAAACAAACATTATAATATGATAAATAATAAAAGAAAATACAAATGTGCTATTAATACTGTATATACGGCAAAATAAATAAATAATTAAGTAAATAAATACATTTAACAAATATGATAATAATTATAGGATAATATTATAAAATAATAATAAAAATATCTAAATAAATAATAATTATTAATTTATTTATTTGTTTCTATTGTTAAAATTTTTAATTATATATATATATATATATATATATATATATATATATATATATATATAAAAAATTATATATATATATATATATATATATATATATATATATATATATATATATATATATATTTATTTATATTTGCAAATTTGTATATAATTTTACAAATTTTAATAATATTATGGTGAGAACTCCACTGTGATGTTTGCAAAAACAGGGCAATCTGACAAGGTCTGGGTGCCCATAAGCATCTCTGTGACATGTAAATCTTCCCTAAGCTGTGGTAAATGGAGCCATTAAACAGCTTGTGTCCTGGCTCAAAACACTATATTCAACAATATTTATTTACATGTGGTTCAGCTGGGAGTTTAGTTTGGAACAAGCTGATGTGAAAAGAACATCCGAGCAGAGAGAATTTATAAATCAGGATTCTCCACACGCTCCATTAAACAAAGCAGAGATTAAAATAAGCAAAAGAGTGAAGATTCAGAGCGAAACGAAAACCCAAACTACTGGACTGCATCTTCACACACACACAGCAGAGACGATGGTGACGTTTCTGAGCGAACAACACTGAAATAATGAGGATTTTAAAAACATTTGCTCAGCCATAAACCATCTGAATCATAATGTGTGGTTAAACCCAAAAATCACATTACCTTTTCTTATTTACACGCAGGCCTGAGTCATAATCGGCCTCTAGAGAACATCGTTTACAGACGGAAAACAATATTCTGCTTTTTTAATACGCTAAAAATGATTGATGCCATCGGGTGAAAAATAATCAGCAATTTGGGATTCATTTCAGCCAATCAAAGGGCAGAACAGACCTACCAGTGCTCATCTAAACTTCGAACTTCAAATTATATTTTTGCAAATAAATGCTATGCAATTATGAACCCGCTACAATCTGGCGAACACACAGATGCTAAATAGAGGCTGTGTTTACATACACTCTCAGCTGATCTGTGCTAGTTTACAAGGATATTAAGGTTAAATACATGAACAATGGTGTAATTTGTTGCAGATTGTTTGCTTTCTGCCTCATTTAGTGCTTTGATAGAAAAGCTTTGCTAATTTAGTGAGCTTATGATTTCAGAGTCTTGGACTACATTAGAAAGCTGCTAAAACACACTAGCAACATGTCAGCAAAGTGCTAAAACATGCTAACAACATATTAAAAAGGAAAGAACATGCTTGATTTTATTTACAGCTTT